ACAGATCGTCATTAATCCACAAGGTACAAAGTAGTTGGCCGGACAGCCAATATTTAACAGGGGCTTCAACGTTGGCCGCATTGGAAAACCCTTATGCTCACCCGTTCCAAGGGACAATATCACGTGGACGAAAAGCCTAAGGAAGAGGAGTCAAACGAAGATGGTCAGGCAGAAGTCAAATCCTCGGATGTCCACGTCAGCTCAAGTAAGTCAAGCTCTGTTAGTCTTTCTAGTCATAAGAATAAGGCAGATTTACAGGCCGAAATGGCTCAGCTCGAAAAAACTTTCATGATAGAGCACGCTAGATTGAAAGCTATAATAGAGTCCCGGGTAGAATCGGGAGATGAGTCTGATCACAAAAAACCTGCAGAGAAAATCGAGCCTGTAGCTCGTCATGTAGCCGAGTGCACGATGAAAAACGAATGTCTAGAAGAAAGTGGTCGTGGGATAAACCCGCGTGGTGATTCAAACAGAGTCCACACGATGATTCCGGTAGTGGCCAGTTTAGAACTGCCTAAAGTTGAACTGTGTTATTTTGAAGGCAATCCCATACACTATTGGAAGTTCGTCCGTCAGTTTGAGGTGTATGTGGAAAGTAAAGTGGAAGATCCCGGGCAGAGACTGCTATACTTAACACACTATTGCCGAGGAGATGCGAGAGCCGCGATTGAAGAGTGTTTCATGCTACCTTCTTCCATGGCATACGAAAGAGCGCGGACAATTCTAAGAGACATGTTCGGCCAGCCGCACATTGTTGCCCAGTCCCTTCTCGAGGGACTGTTTAGTCAGGCACGACAGATTACACATACGGCAAAGTCAATTTCTGACTTCTGCATTAAAATGAAGGGTTGTGAAATCGCACTCACGCAGATGAATTATGTGTCCGATTTACACTCCCTAAATGTATTGGAGCAAATAGTGCGTTCCCTATCTTACACAATGCAGAACCAATGGGCTAAAGTAACCGATCGGATATATAGTGGGGGTAAAGACCCAAACTTTACCGATCTTATGGATTTTGTGGACAAGCGTACGAGGATAGCCAGAAGCACGCGCTTCAAATTGCGGTTTAAATTTCTCGTCCTCTGTGGGAAATACTATTTTCGGGATTTCGGTCCACCTAGCACTCTGGCGGATTTTCATTGTTAGCTATTGGATTCGCTTTCACAATATCTCCAGCCTCAGAAGACACGGCTGGACATTAGTCCAAACGAGCAACATCTCCGTGACCGCCTTCTGTCAACAATTATCCGGGCTTCCAGCTATCTACAAACGGCTGAGTCGTTTCAATATCCTTTTCATACAATTGATCGCTTTATACATATTGCATAGAGCTTTTAATATCGTTTATCGAAAACCAAAGCCATAAATAGGCCCCAGTGGCTAATAAACACGCTGAAGA